CTTTAAGTCTTTTTTTTTTTTTAATTTTGTGATTTTTTATATCCTCTACGAAGTCAAACACACGGAACTTTTGAATCATGTTAATTTATGTAGCTATACACTAATATTACCAGCTGAAGCTTGAACCTACTCTTCTCATATCAGTACCAAGTAGCTAGCTCAATATCCTACATTTATGCATGCTGTTAATTCTTATTTTAACACGATTTAGATTGACATATATTTTATCCTTATATTTTCCATCTTTGTGTTCTATTAATCTATCAAATATTTCAAAAATATTTCTTATTTCAAAAATATCTTTCTCGTTAATTGCTTTCAGTGAAAAAATATTAAGTTCTGTAGAATACTTTTTTGACAACCAACAACAGTCCATAACGCGGCAAACAGGAAAATACAGGAAAATCTTCAAATGAGTTTTTCCCTTCCGGGCAGCAGCTAATAACTACCGTTTCTACATCGCCGAACACTTCTTGTTATTCGACAAAGGGAATAAAACAAGGTTCCAAATCATCATTTTCCTTAACGGACAATTCATTATTTTTGTGCATTTTTACTCTTTTGATTATAGTGTTTTTCCTTTTGATAATCTATATCTCGATTCGTGTATCTGATATTCTAAAAATGTCAAATTGTACCCGACCTCCAAGAGAAGGTAATGACTAGGCTAATCATTACCAGGAGATGCAGCTTACCAGAATGACTCGTGTGTCATAACTCAACAGTTAATTTAGTAACTTTTATAGTACAATGTATGTAAAAGTTGAAGAAAACGAAAATTGTTTTATATCAAAAATACAGCAGACAAATTGAATTGTGAGTGGGACAAAAACACGGACCTCTGGAAACACAAGAGGTGGAATCAGGTGCCTAGGAGGAGTAAGCATCACCTATTGAGTAGTCGCACAAGACTGATTTTCATGTATTGCTCAGGTTGACAGAGTTCTCAATTTAGCCAATTTTGGTCACTTTTAGCACAAAAGCAATGCCCTAACAAATGGTATAAAACATATCAGACAAAATACCGCCCAACGATAGGTTTTATTTATAAACAAGGTCATTATAACCACCATACAATTTGAAAAAAAGACTGTACTATCAACTAATTTGTCAGTAGCTTACAACTGTTTAAAAGTTTATTACACTCATAGCACTCTTTTGCGCATCGATTCAGTTGGGAGAAGTAAACAACATATGCAGGTGATGTTGTAATACTAATACATAAATAGGAGAATTTAGAGATGGAAATACTGAATTTATTCCGTTTGTTACACCGTTTGGTCATTAGTTGGTCAATATCTTCTGTAGTCAGTAAAACTTCCATATCTCAATTACGTGGGAATAAATAGAGAGGATTTAAATTGTTTGCTTCATAAGTGATTTCTTTGTGAACGTTTTATAATAATGTTTTAATTCCGGTAAAATTTAGTACGGGTTATTTCACACTCGTAACGTTTAATTACAACTCATTCACTGGAAGATGTATAATACAAGTATTTAATGAAAGTATTATAAATAATTTAATTGAGAGTAATAAATAATTTTATCAACATGAAACGTTTTAAAACGGAATTATACGGTATTAAGTGGAGTAAATCGGCTGAAGTGCATTTTGATATACCCAAAGTGAAAAATCCCAATCCCTTGCCTTTTTTTATTGTACAGACACTTTTCTTCTCAATCGTAAACCCCTCTTCCTTGTAGTGAACTGTTTGGCAAGGATGATAGAGTTAATGATTCTTCTGATTGTTCGTTAACGAAAGTTTATCACTTCATTGATTCTTATCGTACTGCATAAAAATTACAGAGGCGAGGGAAGTTTTTACCTGAAGAAATTTAAAATCTAATCTAAACATAAAGGTTGATATGGTGAATAGGATTAAGACCACGGAACATTAACTGGCATAATTGGAAATATACAGCTTACGTCTTCTCCATCTGTTACAGTCAAAACATTTAATGATAGACAATGAAATGGGTGGGTACAATTCGGCACGGACGTCCGAGAAAACATTGGATTGAAATTCTAGTTTGAAAATCATTTTCAATCCACCTGAGCTGTTTTCAAACGCAGAGTGTGATTGTATGACCCAAAAGACAAATAATTTCAATTCCCAAATGCATGTTGTTTGAAATTCATATTTATCATTGTTTATATGAGTTTTTAGCCTATAATTTTAAGGAAACGTAAAAGTCATAGAAGACAGAAATTATTTTTTCAGGGGATGGCTATTTGATTCTAGAAAGAGGGGGGGGGGGTAAAAATTGTCAAGTCAGATCATGCCTTCACGTGACAAAATATATTTATTTCTAGAATGTCAAGAAGTATTTCTTTAGTTTTGTATTCACTGAAAAATGTTTGACAATCAAAAACAGGGAGGGGTTGTCTTAACAAAAAAACTTTTCTTTTTTATTTCCAAGATCGTTCACCCACCCACCCCAACACATGCATGCATATACCTAACAGAAATTAAATAGTTGTCCCTTTATATTTCTTTAAAAACACTGGCCAGAAAATCTTATTTGTATATTTAAACTTCAAAATATTCTGAAATTGAAATTATTTGTCTTCTGGGTCAATCAGTAACTCGTTGCCTTCTAACGTAGCTGAGGTGGATTGAAAATGATTTTCAAACTAGAATTTCAATCCAATGTTTTCTCAGACGTCCGTGCCGAATTGTATCCGCCCATTCCGTTGTCTATCGTTAAACGTTTTGATTGTAACAGATGGAAATGACGTAAGCTGCATATATCCAATTTTGCCAGTTAATGTTCCGCGGTCTTAACATATTGCAAAATTTAAACAGATAAATAACATAATGTTATTATTATGTATATAAAAGTGATCAAATGGTTTATTTTTAGAGAGGTTCACCAACAAATCTTTTCAATAAAAAAGGTGAAAATACGGATGATGAACTCTCAGATAAAAAAAATGAATGGGTTGTTAATATAATATGAAATTCTAAGTTAGGGAAAAGCAAAATTGTATAAAAGTAATTGTATAATTAGAAGGAAAAACGATGTATGTCAGATAATTTGTTAATTACATGTACCTATATACCCAGAATATTAAACTGGATTCATGTAAATCTCAAAATTCCCTTGATTACAATATCTCAGTGATAATATTGCTCACCAATCCTCCTTATTTAATCCAATACAATTGAAATGTAAAAATGTTAAAAACTGGATTAAAACTTCCTTCACATAATCTAGTGATTGAATGAGGAACATCTAACAAATATCCAAGAAGTGAATTATGCTTTCCAAATGAATATTATATTTATATAACAGAGGGATATCACAAATGTATATACGAGGGTTGTCCCAGAAATGCACGAAGATTTTCAGTATCTTTTGTTTCACTAATACTACAAAGTTAAAAATTGGCATACATCACAATCAACATTTTTTGAATGATGCATAAAAATTTCAATGAAAAATCTCCATAAATAACATTTTTCTCTCAGGTAAACGAATCTTACAAATCAGTTGTCGGCGCAACATTGACGACGTCAAAACGTAGCTCGTGGCGTTTGTGAATCTGTTCTGGAAATGTTCTTCAGATTCAGATAAAATTCGTTTAAGCAGGAATTCGGCACTGTATTTAATTTTCTTTTACTTACCAAGTTATACATCTCAAAAGCTAGTGTTATCAAAAGATTGCGGAATTAATTCTTTTAAACGACAATTTCTCAATCCCGATAATAAACATAACAGTTCGCATTGTTGAACGCCGGCTTAACTTAAGCCTATGACATCCAGCTCAGTTTCAGTTTGTTTTCATTTTGTTGGTCTACAAAACGCTTCTTCTATCGGATAACCGGTCAAGCCATCTTCAAACCTCTTCAACTAGGGATAAACCTGTGTCTGAGAATTATGTCCCTGTTTTTCCATCATTAACATCTCTTTTATTGTATGGATTGGAGTCATATTCCGCTCAACACAGTACTGCTTAATAATTTGGTACTCCACATTATCGCCAAACCTCACCATTTTTGACAATATGTAATTAAAAGTCATATATTTGTCATTAATGATGTCAAATTAATGAATTTTCATACACGAGTACACCAGATCAAAGAGTATTTATGGGGGTATATTTTGTGACATTATATTTCCGCATAGCCCCGTAATAAAGAAAACTTCATTGACAATGCTTTTAAAAGTAAAAAAAATGCCGTGCGCCGACCACCGATATTTAAGACCCTTTAAATGCTGTTTTTATATACTTATGACATCACAAGCCTAAAATATTCAAAATACTGAAAATATCATTTTCCTACAACTTGCAAAAAATATTAGTTTTGGTAGAAAAGTTTCTGAAATATTCAAAAAGTTCGCGTTTTTCTGGGACAACCCTCGTATTAATGAATTTATTTGTTGTGAGTCGTATTTATTTATTGTTTATTTGCATCCTTGGCTTAGGGAAACTAATTACATGTAAGTCCTCAACAGGTAAGAGTCTTCGTTGAGTAAGACATTGCTATGCAGATTTGAGCATAATCTGCATTGTCAAAAAGATCAATCTAAAGTTTCCATAGATAATTGATTTTTTTTTAAGGTCATCTCTTAATAACCAATGTTATAGAGTAGGATCCCCCAGCCCCGAAGAGTTTACTCTAAGGTTGGATTTGCCCCAGTGGAAAATTCTGCTTTAGAATAGACTTTCTACGAGAGAAAATCTTATTCTAGAGACGTATTTTCAAGGTTTTATCAACCAGAGTGGGACCCCCTCCCTTCCATAAAATTATAACATAATTTCATTTAAGTGGTAGTAGCCAAGTTTAAAAAAAATAATCAATTACTTCATATGATTTAAAATTAGTACAAAATTCTATCAACTGTTTCACATCTTTTATTTATGTTAAGCCCCTCCCCTTTTTAAAGACACTCTATTAGACAGGATTACAGGTTATAGGGCTTTTACAATTGTTTGTTTGATTTTTTTTTTAAATGTCTTCAATATTTTATGAGCTTGTTATAATACGTTTTATTGATCATAATAGATGTGCTTTTATACCATACAATCGAATATATTTACATCAACCATTTGAAAGAGTTTACTTTGTGCATCGTTGTTTGGCTACGTTGAATGATGGATTCGTAAAGGACTATTTTCATTTAACTGATTATAACTGATATTATGTATATGAAAGCTAACGCATTGACTTCGGATTATCCCTTGTTTAATAATTTGATAGCACATAATTTTTCCAATAAATTTAGATCTGATACATTTTTTTTAACTTTTCACGCTTATTCAAAAAGTCCACGCCGTGATCTAATATTGATTCCATAAAAGTGCTTGAACTATTTTCTGATTAAGGAAGAGATAAAAGCCGACCCAAATCCCCGGACAGGACGCCTCCTGTGCTGCTCCACTTATAACTTTCACGTTACTCAGTGTTGTGTATCTAAATGAAAATATGTTTTCTTTCAATATCAAAATTTGGATCTGTAAAAGCTTTAATTAAGATATTCATCCCTTAAACAAAATTTCAAGATAATCAGTATCCCTTTGAACAAAATCACAAGATAATCAGTATCTCTTATTTCAAGTGGCAAGTTTTATATGTAATCATTAAATTGAATATTTACATTGTAATACTTATTCGAACAACTAAAACAGCATGGTTACCTTACAGCAGCATCGGTGTGAGGACGATTAACAACATAGCATTCGGCATCTAAAAAATCACAGTAAAATTGGGAAAAGATAAATTATTTTGAGATTTCATATCATGTTTAAGAATTGTTAAGTGGCTGGTTTCATATCCATCTGACTCTGCATAGTAATGTTTGATTTTAAAGCGATTACCTTAAAATTGGATTTCTGAATTTAAAAAGTATTTGAGATTAAAGTTAAAACTGCAGCATAGTGTCATTGAAGTATTTTACATTTATAGGCATCTGTAGACCAGTAATCGTTGTAACAAGACAAGCAAGGTTTTGCGTCAAAGGAGTCCTGCACTCTTCCTCCTTCATAATTGTACTCAGCACAATAGCCTAAAAACAAAACAGAATATTGCATGTTGTATATCAAAATTAAATAGCATATGACTAAATAAAACAATTCAAAAATGAAGTTGCGTATGTTGTCATTTATTTCCTTGTTGATGCAAACTTATAGGAAGTCCTAATTGCAACGGAATAGTTTTAAATATATTCTTCGAATTTCAAAAATAAATCAAAATATTTCAACTTTGATATTTAATAACCCTGAATGCACTAGGGAATAATACTTTTATACATAAAGTTATTGTAAGGTGTACTAGTAATTAAATCATTTTTAATAAAAGGATGTAGTCAAAAGATAAATAAATAAATAGGAAAGATCAGCGAACTGGATGAATTACTTCTGTGGCCGTAATCGAGTTCTTGGACATAATTAAAAAATATTGTTAGATATTGAACAGAAGTAGACATGTTCCTGCAGACCATTCAAAAGATCTATCCAGATTAATTGACAAAGAAAATGTCTTCCGAATAAATTAAACAAACCAAACAATTGTGAGTACCAGAATAACTTTAGCAGACATTAATTCTCTCATACTAGTTTTCACATCATTTTCATGTCGATCTGCTATGTTAAATGTTATTAAAATCCAATACTTTGGCAAAATATTTTTTTTTTAATTTTACCTTCATTTTCATGCATTATTAATACTTTTTTATACTGAATAATATACATGTATCAGTGAACAGAAAGCCAGAAATTCTATGCAGTCAACATTTTTGTAATAATACCCGTCGTCAAGATATGTTGACTGTTTCTTCTTGCTTTGTAGCAACTGCTGATGATAAAACGGAACTTAATGATAGAAATATCATTAAGCATTGCAATTGCAACGCTTAATGCCCTAAATTATTGCAATTATAGTTGACATTCTCATGCTAAATCGCAGTTTAATGAAAGAATTATATCTTGGAGCGGTTGAGAATGTCAACTATTAATGCAATAATTTATGACATTAAGCGTCGTAATGCAACGCTTAATGATATTTCTATCATTAAGCGGCGTTTTATCGTAAGTGGTTGCTACGTTGCTTTCATGCTGGAGGGCGTACATTGTAGTTTCATCATTCCGAGGAAAAAAGTGCTTTTAATAAATGTTTCCCGATTAATCAGATTCAACTTATTTACATGAAGGTATAAATTATTACCAATCATATACATACATGTATATAACTGATTTGCATACAATCACCATACCGCTATAAGACTATTTCTGGATGCTGATTTATATCATTCAGTTTTTAGTTCAGTTATTCTAGTATATAAAATCTTAGACTTTTTTCACTTCAAACATATTAAAGGCACCTATACGGGGCATAAAAGTTGCAAGTTGAAATTTTTGAAATAATATCACTATAGTATTTAAGTAAGTTTTCATAGTTATCACTATAGTCAGGGTTCTCCACAAGGGGTTTTACCATGGCGGCCCGCCATGGTTAAATTTATGTGCGCCATGGTTAAACGAGCTGCGCCATGGTTAAAATGGGCGGCCGCCATGGTTAAATTTTTATTGCATTTCAGTATTTACACCTACTTTTTAATGACTTGAGTAGTTAATTGTGTTTATACTACGACTGCCATGCATCTGGCATGCCTCGAGGGAAAGCGGACTGTGCAAACAAACACGGTCGCTGATCGGCGACTATGCTGGGAAGCGTGACAATGGAGGGTCAATCAGCTGAAGATCAATATCTTGAGAATTAATTATCCTGTAGTATACAAACATGTAATTTCGGGAAATTCCAACGTGTTCACTATTTGATAAAAGATCATAACGAGCAGTAGGTATGCCCAGAAAAAAATGAGCCCTTTCAAAATTTCCTATTCTTTGTATTTAATTCCTCATGCTTTGTTTTCAAGTATTAACTTTATTATCTTTCTGATAAAATGTACGTAAGTGCCAATCGTCGTCTTAGTTTTAGAGTTACCTCCCGTGCTATTCTTAGCACGGGCACGTGGAGGAATAAACAATGGAGGAAACTCAGCGAAAATGCAATATGTAGAAAAAATAACGTTTAGAGAAAGACAGAATAGAGAAAGCAAAATTACATTAATGCAAATTAATGCCCCCGGTTATACTAAGTTACTTTTACCATGTATACCACCAGTAAGTTTTCATAGATCATGCAGTTGAAAAATGCTTAGGCATTAGTAGGATGTCGGCTTTCGTTTGCTTGTCTGTCTGTTAACTTTTTTTAAAGTACTACCAATTCATCAGTTTTTGTCATATTTAAATAAAACTTTTTATATAACAGGCAACATCAATTCTGTATATCAGTTTTCGAAAACTGTTGCCATGGTTACTCTATCAAAACATTATTTTGAAATTCCTTCAAAATGTTCCTACAGTTTTGGACCAATTTTGGTACATTTGTAGAGAAATTAAGATACATAATCCTTTTTATTTTTAATTTTTTAGCTTAAAAAACTATTGGTTATTTCAACTTTTTGTGCTGCAGTGGTTAAGTTTTGTGAATTAACCAATTGATTAATGAAGGTTAGGAAGTCTAACATGCATTTGTGTTTTTGGTCGCATTGCGCCTTCGCGCAGCTTCCTCCATGGTTAAATTTTCAAATGTGGAGAACCCTGTATAGTGTTATAGTGATCATTGTTATGAATCAAAGTTTTCAAAGATATCACTATAGTAAATCAGAGTGTCAAAGTTATAACTATAGTTAACTGTAGTTTTTTCTAGCGCGCCAAAGTTATCACTATAGTAAATTTTAGTAAATTATACGTGTAGTTAACTATAGTTTACTACATGTATATGATTTTTGTAAGGGAAGTTTCTTAGTTTATTCCTTAAATTTACAGGTCATTAAATATGTGATTAGTATATTGAACATCCATCTTGTTAAAAACACAACTAATAAAAAGCAACACAAAATCTCAATGTAAGTGGATTGACATGGGAATCCTCATCACTTTCAAGATATTACCAGCTATACTCAAAACTCTAGGGTACCTTGTCTCAGTGTGATATTAAGGATTGTTGGAACATTCTTGGCTGCCTGAAACACTGAATCTTCTTGAGAACTTGTGAAATGGAAAACATGTTAATGTTCTTTTGTTGGTTATTATTTTTTTATTGTTAAAAAATCTTCTTAGATTCAATTTTATTTAATGATTATAGCACCTGTTAATTTATTTTGACTAAGTAACATAACCCTGTAAGAAATTATTCATACTCCATAGTAAAAAAAATCCACATAACAGTTTTTACATGAAGCTAATGTTTGACTATCCATAAATGTTCCGCATAAAAAAATGACTAAAACTTACCATAGCCTATAACTGTTCGAGGTGCACAGACTTCGATAGTACTGTTCTGCCATGGATTTATTAAACAGTGGTACAGGAGGTTATGAGAGCAATTATGTGAGACAGAAGAACAGTTTTTCTTCAAAGCCTCTGCATCCCACATTGTTTTATTGACGGGACATGATGGTACTTTCTTCACCGTAGAGCGAGATTCTTCACAAAATTCTTCATCATAACTCAAGCAAAATCTCTGAAGAAAAAAATAAAATGTAGCAATCTGTGGTTTATATTTAAAAAAAAGAATTGCCTTAAAATTATAACGAGAAAAATATTCCACAAGTAGTACATAAAATTGATACTACATGTATTTTGAAAATACTTTCTTGGTTTACTTTAAAAATACATCTATTTCATAAGCTTCATTTATTTTGTTAATGTGTAATAGCCAATAGGTGTTTCTGGTGGACCTTCAAAAGGGCATGGCAATCAAACGGGAACTTTAGACCACGACAAGTTCTCATGCAGGTACTCTTAAACGTTTTTGTGGGTCTGAAGGACGATGGGGATAAAAATGATACATCCCTGGTTTGAAATTAAACATTTACTTCATATTTTTTACTGAAATCGCTTTCTTTGTATGGCAAAAACATTTATTCCATCAATTTGATTAATTTGTCATGATCCTGAATATATATTGCCTTATAATTTCAAGCTTATTTAAGATGAATGGGTTTTTTTTACCATCCTCTTCGTTCAAAAATTAAAACATAAGGACCCAGCATTTGCTCAGTTTAGGTTACTTTAGCCTCAGGTAATTGGTATACTCAAGTGATCACGAAAGACTTCTTATTTTTGTGTTACAGAAAACTAACTTTTAAGGTGAGACGACATGTTCCTCAGTAATATATTTTTTTTCCAGATAATGTGTCAACAAAGTTTTGAAAAGTTTCCTCACAAAAAATTAAGGTACCTTACCAGGCATTTGTGGAAGATACCAGAGGATGTTGTCTCATACAAACTATTTGAAATCACTAGCATTGCAAATAACGTATTGTGTATATATCTTGTAGAAATTTTGTCCCTGGTATCTGTTCATGTACTTTGAGTTTTAGTTCGCTTTTTTATAATTTACATGTTGTTGCGCCTTACCATGTCGCCTTGGGTGGGTGGATCCAATTTGCAATTGGATTGTTGCGTTCATTTTGCTCAGTCCCATCCTCTTTTTATGGCACCCATATCAGTGCCTGATGTATGGAATGTTTAATTTTTGGGGCCAATTTGCGTAATATGATGGCAAACATTTATATGTTTTATAGAAGTTTTTCTTAGTCTCCTTTGACCCCCTAGTAATGCGTATTGTTTGCTTTCCGTCATTTACTTGAATAAATGACATTTTTTCACTTTCAATGCTGCTGTTATTTTATTTTACTCCATCAAAAAACCTAGCTCAGTCGCCTTGGCTTCGTACTTATAAATATAACAAGTGAACATAAATCACAATTGTTGGTTTATTAATTTTATGCGTTATTAATCTTTTAAGCAGTTTAGAAATTACAAGACAAAAATAATTACGGTTAATTTTTTCTACATGTATATTACGAAAAAAACTATAAAAAGATGACTGAGGAACGTAGTCAGACCTTAAATTCTACTTAATGATCATCAATATTGCAGCGCCATACTATATTGGTCTCACTTTTACTTACCATAAAGTAAAATATCAACACCGCTTTCAGAAATGTCCTTTTGAATGTATGAGGAGTTTGCCCTCTTTTCTCAGTTGACATCTTAACACATGGCCTAACCTGTATTTTAATTCAAAAAATAAGTATATAGACACAGTAATTAAAATTATAATATGAAAACAGAAAATATCTAATGATGTTCCAGAAATGATCCAAAAAAATGCCATCTATTTTGTCATTTTACTAGAACATCTTTTTTAAATTGAGATAAGATCGTGTGTTTATAGCTCTTGTAAAGGGTTTCACACTTTCACTATACTGTGACTAATCCTAGAGTATGTACATTATTATTATAAAATTATCGTGATTATGCATACTTATTTTGGAAGAACATAATAAAAAGGAGAAGCAAATGTTTCAAATCATGCAAAGAAGATCACGATATATTTTAATAATATATGCTGTGAATCACTGTATACATACATGATATCTAAAACATATTTCTCCTTTTATTTATATAAAATTGTTGTCACACGTATTACAGGACTTACCAAAAGTGTGCACTGATTTAAAAAAAAATCACTTTATCAACATGGCTTTTTACCATGCAATTGAGAGGTTTTACAGAGATACTGAATCCATTGTGTTGTTTCTATTATTAACCTTCTGTCTAAAGGAAGCAGTCGGAACAGAGACTCTTACGTACTGGCTCTGTTACAGATGCTGTGAATGGACAATCGATTTATTTTATGATATTTGTGTTCTTGGTTTGGTTCAAAAGAATACGATTTAGAATTTAACAAAACATCGATTATTTTAAAGTATTTAAAATAGCCGTAGTAGTGCGTCACATTTATCAGAACTTTTTTCTATACAGAAATTGGTACATACTTTGCAATAAACTTTGCTGTTCTAAAAATCCCACCTAATTTAAATATGCTATGTTTTAAAAACCCTTCCCTAAACTTAAATGCAGTATTGAGCGAATGTAGTAGACGACTTAAAGTACATCAACTTGCTTAACAGGATATCAAGCTTGTGAAACTCGGCTTAAATGCTTTGTAAATGATCCTTATAATATCTTTATTAAAAATAATTATTGCTGAATGATTCAAGTCGTAATTCTACAACATGTAACTGCGATGTATTTTATTAAAAATACGGAGTGTTTTTCAGTTTGACCCCTTAAAATTCGGGCTGACATTGATTCCATTGTCCTTTATATATATATATATATATATATATATATATATATATATATATATATATATATATATATATATACTGAGCACGTATACAATGTAATTAAGCAAAGTATATTACTGGCCCCTGTGAATCAACCTTTTCTTCTTTTTTCATCAAGAAAAAACTGAAACCTACAATAATCTCTTAAATGGCCAAATGCTTTGTTGTCATCATTATTCACCATTACTATCTTGATTCGTCCAGCAACATCTTTACTTCCTTTAAGAAGATAGAGAACAAACGTGGATAAATCTACTTGTATTTCTTGTAATACGAATTCTCTGTTTTCAATCTAAAAATATATATACATAAAAGCTTTGCTGCGTTTTTTTCAAAGTCTCTTTAGTTTTAGATATATAATGTATTGTAAATCAAATTTAATTTTACATGCGAGAAATATCCGCGATTTTCTTGGCCCTATTTTACTTGCGAAATTTTCTCGCCGCGAACAAATAATTCAATATGTATTTGTGCAGAATGACTTCTTACTCGCAAACATTTATTGTTGTGTGTTGATTTCAGCTTGAATAATTACGAATAAAACTTGTCGCGAATAAGAGTTGCTTGGGCCGATACCAACCGCTTAGGCAGATAACAGGGCTTAGATCAAAACAGCAATATATATAATTTCTTATTTTTCAGGATAGTGTAATTTCTCTCCATGTAAAAAAAAAATGCCATTTGATACCATTATGAAGAACGGAAAAGTATTTTATCTTTAGAATTACAACATCAGAAGTTGCCCGCGTGGCGCAGTGGTTAGAGTGTCTGCTCTAGAGTCGCGAAGTAAGGAGTTGATCCTTACGTCGCTGGTTCGAATCCCACTGTGGGATGTGGATACCGGTCCTTCGGATGAGATCGTAAAAACCGAGGTCCCGTGTCGCAGTAGGTGCTGGCACGAAAAAGATCCCTCACTGCTCGATGGCCATAAGTGCCGAGTATAGGACAAAATTTGCAGCTCTCCACCGGCAAGTGGTGGCGTCTCCATATGAGTGAAAAATCCTCGAGAGGGACGTTAAACAACAAACAAACAAACAACATCAGAAACGTGTCATTATGATGAGAGCAAGATCATGATTTGAGATCATATATGGTGCAAAAGAAACAAAGTTTGGAGACACTGGACATCGCAACCCAGATACAAAGTAATGTTATGGGATGAGATCTTTCGAATTAACAGAACAACTACATCTGTAAATGGAAATATCAATGCATTAAAATTCTGAAAGAGAACCTGTGGCCAGTAATAACTCGCCATTTTCCAAGGGTTGGCTATTTCTTCCAAGACGACAATGCTCCAGATAAGCGGGCTATACGTGCTCACCCTTACCAAACTGTTATGTTTGCTGCAGACCTGCAGCAAGTCTGCTGCAAGTTTGCAGCAAACAAAATTGTTCGCAGGAAGAAAATTTTCCTGATCATGATTGCCGCTAGCTGCGATCTTGTGGCAAACATTGCAGCAATTGCTGTAAGCTTGCAGCAAATTCGCAGGAACTCAACATGTTGCAGGAACATTGCAAGAAACATACACGCCAATCTGTTGTTTGCAGCAAGTTCGCAGGAAACATTTAACAAATTGAATGTTTGCAGGAAGTTCGCAAGAGCAGTAAACAAGTCAAATCAGCCAATGAAATGCAGATTGCACTGGGGTCAAGACAGAATTCACCATTTTGAAATGTTTGAATAGAAATTGTAGATGTTTCAGTATTTTGTTAGGAATATAAACTATTTTGAATGATTACAAAAGCATAATTCTGGATGTAGGAGTACATTGGCATACACATTATCTTATTGGTAAGATCGATCTGATTTTGTTTTATTTTAATGTGAAAAAAAAAATTATCTCTTTAAAGCATGTTTGCATGTTTTAGTACCGGTAACTGATGTACTTGCTAGGTCAAATCTTAATCTATTTATGAATTTTAATCTTTAATATCACATTTGTATATTCCTTTAATGTATTAAAGGTTCCAAATCAATTATTCTAAATATTCATATGTTTTTTAAATAAATTGGTATTAACTGTAAAATTTTAATTATAAGGTCCTGTGCAAAGGTTCTTGATTTTCTGTACATGTTAAAAAAATTATATTACATTTTTATTAAGAATAGTATGTGAACATTAAGAGAGACTATGAACACTTCAGAAACTTACATAATTTCAGACATTGTGGAGAATTTTCTCTATAATCAACAGATTAAGATTAAGGTCAGGGCAAAGGCTTTCTGCGAACTTGCTGCTTATATTCAGGAATGTGCCAAAAACAATAACTTTAATGCTTGCCGCAAGTTAGCAGCAATGTTTGCAGCAAGCCTGCAGCAGTGTTTGCTGCAAGCTTGCAGCAATGTTTGCTGAAAGCTTGCAGCAATGTTTGCCGCAACCCTGCAGCAATGTTTGCCGCAAGTATGCAGCAAGGCTTCCATATTTGGAAAATCCAATGTTTGCTGCTGACTTGCAGCAAACCTCATTTGCATGGTAAAATGTTTGCTGCAAGCTTGCTGCAAACACAGACACTTTGTATAGGCTGTCATGGTTTCTTGGCTTCATGGCAGCAAACTTGCAGCAATGTCTGCAGCAATGTTTGCTGCAGACTTGCAGCAAATGTTTGCAAGAATGCAATATTTTTGGTAAGGGCAAGAATACATTGCACGAAATGTCATAAACAGCTTAAGTTGGCCTGCCCAGTAGCCAGATGTTAACATCATAGAACATCTTCGGTTGTTGATAAAAATGCATCATTATTTCTAAAAACGATCTAGTGGGGGAAATTTGATGGATTTGAACGAGCGTCACACTTGGATTTTTTCAGAACCTCTACAAGTTCATAACAAAGTGGGTGTTAAGTGTGACCAGACTCTAGGGACATCTTACGAAGTATAAAAAAGTAAAATAATATTCTTTTATTTGTTTATTCCTTTATTTCATTACAGCAATTGTTTCAAATTTTAGAGTTTCGATTTTAAAGGAAACAAGCCGCCATGTTGACCGAAAACTTATGGCACGCGTCTGTTACTACGTTTATCAAAGATTTCTTGTTTTTATTGATTGCTAAAGTTCAGTTTTATCTCTTAAAGAAAAAAGAAAGTGTACCTAACAACAGGTTTTTTTTCTTTTTCTTTTTTTTTCTTTGACAAGATTACTTTCAAATAAATCACTTACTTGTCGCCCGCGTGGCGTAGTGGATAGAGCATTTGTTCTAGAGTCTCGGAGTAAATAGTTGATCCTTACGTCGCGGGTTCGAATCCCACTGCGGGACACGGAGACCGGTGCTTCTGATGAGACCGTGTAAACCGAGGTCCCGTGTCACAGTAGGTGCTGGAACGAAAAATATTTCCCAATGGTCCTGAGTGCCAAGTATAGGTCTAAATTTGCAGCCCTCCACCTGCAAGTGGTGGCGTCTCGGTATGAGTGAAAAATTCTCGAGAGGGACGTTAAACAACAAAAAAACTTTCTTACTTTCTTGTCTTCCTCGCCAAGGATCTCTTTGGAATATGTAACATAAATATTAAATGTATCTTATAATTACAAATAAAGCGGGAAAAACCAGGAATTTTACTCCTACAAGAAAACATAATCAGTCCAAAACAATCAGAAATAAACATGCCTTATTATTCAGTTGTTACACACTGCTAGAAAAGCCTCCAATCGACATTAATCCTCTGGAAAAAGTAATTAAACTGGAACACATTTGTAATTCAAAACTACAAATACTACGCCTTATTGTTTCGTAACGTCGATACGGAACAATTGATACATACATAAAAGAATAAAGTTTAAATTATCGAAAACCCAATGAACTGAAAAGTTGCACTTCAATGAATTGCCTTTTTTTAATGTCATAATTACGTATTTAGTATTGTTTTTCTTTCTTTTTTTTTAAAGCATACACAGTAGATCCTTAGGAACTGGGGACAGAGATTACTACAGAAAACAAGGCTATTGCATACAGTTGAATATATATACAATGGATTTCCAATATATACACATGGGATAACAAAGCTAATTTACTGTTGTGTCCATTCAAAAACGTCTCAGTTTTTTAGAAGAAGCCCCCCCCCCCCCCCCCGCCCCAGTTAAGATCGTCTCCTACAGCATTGGAAATTATTAGATATGTTCAGTCCTAAAATTAATTTTATCGACACACGAATTCCAATCTCGAAGTTTTAAATGTAATGTTTTTGAAGTGTTCTTAAATTGTGGTAAATGTACTTAATCTTACTAAAAGCACCACTTTCTCTTTTAAAAGCCAGTAATTGTATGTATCTGCACTGTTTGTTATTGACGTGAAAGTGTTCTTTTGTCTAAATAAGAGACCCCTGCAGGAACATAGGCAATTAAATACCTAATAACTCAGAGTTAACATGTTATTTAAAGCTTTGAACAAATATCA